CTCCACGAAGTCGCGAGACCTCCTCCTGGCTCTGGCCAAAGTCTCCATCTATAATACCAGGAAGAGGATGTTGGACGAGGGGGTGCTCTGCGACTGCTGGGCCTATTTCCGTTGCTCCCTAGTTTCACGCATCCGGGCAGAGTTCCACTGGGCAGCGTCTGCTGGCTCCCTTGACAGCTTTGAGGAACAGTGGGCTCTGTCCGGGGTTCTCTGCTTGGTGTTCCCATCTGGTATCCTCATTTTGAACCTCTGACCTTCACTCCGATCCCTGTTTTTCATTAGTTGTCCCCCGTAATCAGTTGGTCCCTGGGTCTAGTGGTCCCTCCCGCTAGGCTGGGGGACAGGCTTTTAGCAGTGGGTGGGCTTGCACCCGCCCACCTCCCAGGTTTTCCAGTACAACCCCGCTACCGGGTGCATATCTCTTTCAGTGATATAAGGGTGAACACTTATGAGTTTACCCTGTATAAGCTTTATACAGAGTTAAAACGGATTTATTTCGGGTTCAGGATCCCAGAAAGGCCATACACTGGTTGCTGGAAAAGTCCCTGTTAACTGAGAAGCCCCAGGGCTGAGATAATCTCAGTGTCTGAGGAACTGCAGAGGAGTGTTCCACAATCTCTGAGTCTGTGCTGGAGCTGACCGGGAATGTCTAGCACAGCAAGACAGAGTTCAGGGGTGCCCATTCTGACGGGAGAGTTGTTCTCAGTGGTACCCCAGCACATCAAGTGACAATCTCAAGGGGGTCTCTGTGACTGAACCTGTCACTCTTGGTATAAGATTTGTTGCAATTATGTAACAGTCGTAGCAATAATGATCTTTATGATCATATTATAATCAGATAAAGTCATCCCCCCAACATATTTTAAATAAAATTAGGGAATGGGACTAGCTGGTTTAAATGTGCATGGGTGCATGGTAGAGTTAACAGATCTGCAACAATCCACATTTAACTGAGGATTTAGCCCATAATGATGGCAATTCTGGAGGGAACTGAAGGTCCAGCTGTGATGATGATAATAGGTAGGAGCCCTGTTGTGCTAGGCACTGTCCAAATACAGAACAAAAAAAACAGTCTTCACTAAATCCACTTACAATCCAAGTGGAAGAGGAGACATGTGGGTGTAGATAAACAGAGGGAGGAGTACAAGAAAACAATGAAAGGATATTGGGTGACGCGACAGGCTATGGTCTCAGCACAACAGCTGCCTAATCCAGCTCACCACCAGTGAACCGCAACAGTCAGCCAGGTTTTACAGCTGGCTATTATGACTGGAGTGTTATAAAAGAAACTGGTTTAGCGGCTGGTTGCCTCGCAGATGTACCATAAGAGGGCCCTGTTTTACCAGCCACTTATCCAAATGCAGAGCTGTCATTTCACAGCCTGTTGCTTTCTGTGGTCTCGGATTCCCCTGTGATTTCTCCTTTCCCCTTTTGTCTACATTGCCAATTGATCCACAAAACTTTTGTCATTCATAGGTGCTTTAAAAAGCCCCCCCGAAAGGCAAAAGTTTTGCCGTGGCAAGTGGCAGTGTGAATGCTGCTTTGTGGGCAGGAGCGCTCTCCTGCCGACAAAGCAAATGCTGCTCATGGCAGGTGGAAGTATTTTGCTGGCAAAAGTGCCGACAAAGAGCGTTTACACATGCCGACTTTTAGCAACAAGGCTGTGTCGACACAGCAGGCTGCTGTGTGCTTAGCACCACAGTCACTCGGCAGAGGAGAGCTGCGCCGCAAAGAAAGTGGGTGGATCTATATTTTTAAAGACCTCTTTTCCCAGCTCCTCCTCACAGTTGGAGGAAGGCAAGGAAGGAGCTTCACTCTTGCATGTTAGGGACAAGGTTCTGGTCCTCCTCATCCACTGAAGATGTTCCTCACCTGGGCCTCAGTGGCTGCAACATTTTTTGCTCTCTGTGAGTAAGATTTCAGGTTGAGTGGGCCAGATCCTCGGCTGGTGTGAATTGTCACAACACCACGGAAGGCAGTGGAGTTACAAAAGATCCCATGAGATTCGGAGTTAACCATAATTTCTTTTTTTAAAACCACCAGTTTATAAACCTTTGTCCTCATTCCCCTAGTCTTTGCAAGTTTGGAATGTAGATAAACATCCCAGGTTCAAACTAAGAGCCATCTGTATGCATGCAATATATTTTTTTCCAGAAGGGGCTAATGTAGAGCCAGTGACCCAACCTGATGACCAAGTGACAGTATCCTAAGGGGAACCAGTGCTTCTGAAATGCACCTGTGGTGAATTGGGGAGAAGGGGTAAACACCATTTCTCTGGGCGTTCAGCGATAACCTCAGGGCTGGAGTTGATGCAGGGAGCATGGAAACATTTGCAGCTGAAGGGGGAATAAAAAGGGAGAGCAGACTTTACAGAAGATACATTTCTGAGAAGAAAAGGGAGACTCTTTCATAGTGAATCAAGTGATTCACAGCAGACAGCACATGTGTTTAGATACAAGGTCGCATTTTGCCTTTTATATTGAGCGCCTGCTGGTATGGTGACACATCACACATGGCTGGGCAACAAAATTCGGTTTGCAGGCAGTGATGGTAAGCCAAAGAGTACATGGGGTTGGCTTCTTCCACCTTCATAACATGTGGGAATGGTTTCAAACTGCAGCGCCCTCTTTTCCCAGAGCAACCAATGCTGGTTGTGTTTGCCGTTTAAAAGGAGGGGCTGAGGTTTTAGAGTGAATGTGCAGCACCCACCCCTCCTCCCACCTGACCACGTGGCTATTCTCCGGGATGATCCATTTTAGCCAAACGCAAACAGCCCACCATGAATGGGGTCCGAATTTTTGGGGAGTGGTCACTGTTCCCTTACAAAAATTCCCCTGTTTCAACCAGGTGACCATGAATGATATCACTGTCTTGAGGCTGACTCAGAAAGATAAAGACTGAATGTTGGTTGAATGCGACCAAAACCCAGGACTATTCACTGCCATGCTTTGTGCTGCAATGATTCCAGCCTACTTGCTACTGGTTTGGCGTGGTAAAGTGTCCAACCGTGGAGGACGGAATAAGGCAGCCCTCCCCAGAAACCTTTTGCAAAAGCTTTCAGAGTACCTCCAGGAGAGCTGCATGGAGATGTCCCTGGAGGATTCCTGCTCCATCCCCAGACACGTTAACAGACTTTTCCAGCAGATGTACTGGCTGCGAATGCCCAATTCTTTAGGGCAAATCAAACATTAAACAGAATTGTTTGTAACCCTTGTAGTGTCATTACAAACGTGCACTCACCAGAGGTGCCTTCTCCACCTTCAGGTTCCGGGAACCTGCCTTGGGGGGGTATTGACTACAGAGTGATGACAAGTTCCTAGCTGCTGGTGAGAACGGATTTCTCTGCTTGCCTGCTGCACATTCTCCTCCTCTTCCTCATCCACAAAATCCTCCTCCATGTTGCGTGAGACTCCCCCCTTGCAGGTGTCCATGATCAGTGGTGGCGTAGTGGTAGGGTCCCCCCCTAGAAAGGCATGCAGCTGATAACAGAAGCGGCATGTATGGGGCTCTGACCCGGAGTGACTGTTTGCCTCCTTAGTCTTTTGGTAGGCTTGCCTTAGCTTCTTAATTGTCATGGGGCACTGCTGTGTGTCCCTGGTGTAGCCTCTCTCCACCGTGCCCTGTGCGATTTTGGCAAATATATCAGCATTTCTTCTGCTCGTTCAGAGCTCTGCCTGCACAGATTCTTCTCCGCACACAGCAATCAGATCCAGTGTTTCCCGTTCACTCCATGCTGGAGCTCGTTTGCGATTCGGGGACTGCATGGTCACCTGTGCCACTGATCTCGCCACGCTGATGAAACAGGAAATGAAACTCAAGAGTTCCCGGTGCGTTCCTGTGTAGCTGGCTAGTGCAGCCAAGTTGAAAGTGCTGTCCAGAGCGGCCACATCGGAGCACTCGGGGACACCTCCCAGAGGCCAATACCATCGAATTGCACAATGCTGCGTCTGCACCATCCCACGTTCCACCCAAGAAGGTCAATTTTAGCGCCACTCCCCTCGTCAGGGAGGAGTACAGCAGTCGATTTTAAGAGCCCTTTAAGTCGACGGGATGGGGTTGGTTGTGTAGCCGCTTTGCTTATAAAATCGACCTAACGCGGCTAAATTCGACCTAACATCATAGTGCAGACCAGCTCTCATAGTGTAGACCAGATGTTCAACAAACATCTACCACTTATAGACCAAGCTACCAACCTTCAACTCAAATGTTATTTCCACTTAAACCAATCAATATGAAAGCCGGAAATCCACACAGTTACAAACGGACATGAAATTCTTTCAAACGCAATAAAGAAGGAAATTATTAGGTATGGATTTACAACAAATGGTGAGATTTACCAGACAGCTGAACAACTCCTTATTTTCTGGATAAATTTGGGAATAAGATGGAAATAGCTGGGACAGGTATGAAGAATGAAGCCAAAACACCCGCCAATGGACACTTACCTTTGGGCAGTTCTAAACGGGGTTAGACGATCGAGGGAGAAAGTGTGTGGGATTTAGCAGCCTACAAAAGGTGTTAAAACTGGCCTAGAACAGACAGGAATAGCGCAGCCACGTCTGTGCCCTGTGTGACATTTGATTGTGAATCCTTCCTGCACTTTCAGACTATAATCTTTTCTTCCCAATTCTTCAGTACATTTTAGCGAGCTTTACAGAGCTTTGGTGTAGCTCAGATGATCCCAGGGGAACTACACTGATTTCCTCCAGATGCGGGATTGACCCTAATCCCTTTCCCTTGACATCAGGCAGATTGTGCAGCTGTTGAACACGGGATAGTCCGACTGGAGTAAAAGTAAGAAAAACACTGAGCGGTTTAGGGGAAAAGTCCTCCACGCTCCCCACAAGGGGCCGCTGTTTTCCCACCGACTCGCCTCTCCGGCAGAGCTGTCTCGGGCTGGCCGTTCAGAGCCCCGCTGTCTAACCTGTTCTCGGATCCCGCCGCAATTTCTCCTCCCTCTTCCTCGAGTCTCCAGCTCCGTGCAACAGCCAGAGAGCCGAGTGCAGGGGCAGCGCCGGGCTGCCTGCGTGGTTAGCACCACAGTGACTCAGCGGAGGAGACCAGCGGCGGTAGGAAAGGAGCTGCCGATGTATTTAAGGCATCACCCCCCTGAGTAAAACCTCTCCCTCTCAGCTCCTCTCCACAGCTGGGGAAGGCGAGGAAGAAGCTTCCTTCTTGGGCTGTGGGAACTGGGGAGGAGGTTCCATCCCACTTCATCCCTGAAATATGTTCCTGCCCTGGGTGTCTGTTCTTACACTGCTTCGGATTCTGGGTGAGTAGCGTATCTGCACCATTTCAGCTCTGTATGGGGCCAGACGGTCATCGGGTGGAAATGGCCACAACTGAAATGCAGCTGCATCCGGTTCCAGGCGATCCGGAATTAGTCCTAATTTCTTTTTGTAACCATTTGTTTGTAAACTTTTCCCTCCCTCCAGCCTCTGGATGCTTGGGAGGTAGATGAACACTGCAGGTTCAAGCCAAGAGCCATCTGTGTAGTCTATATAAACTTTGTTTTTTTCCAGAAGGGACTAATGGAGAGTCAGTGACACAGCCTGAGGACGGAGTGACAGTATCCCAAGGGAAACCAGCGCTGCTGAAATGCATCTATAATACCACCTTGATTCCCACGCTCTGGTGGTACGAGCAGTACCCAGATGAAGCCCCTCGCCTCTTGCTGGCACAATATGAAGCATCGGATGAGGAGGAGAGCAGGAGCAGGCGAGGGTTCTCCGCCACACCCGACAAACAGGGGAAGACTTTCCACTTGAAGAAAAACTCAAGTGAACTTCGCGACTCCGCCGTCTACTACTGCGCCATGAGCGACACAGTGATCACACCCAGCAGGGTCGCTGCACGAAAACCCGCTGGGGGAAGAGGAGGCGGCACTGAAGATGTGTGGGTTTGATCCCCAGAAGAACAGACTTTGCACAGCGCCATTGGAATCAGTGAATCCCATCCCCAGGGTGTTAATGTGCCTCTCTTCACTGGAGTCAACAGGCCAGATCCCAGACAGTTGGGACTGGGTGGAGCTCTGCGAAAGGAAATGATCCAGTTCCTCAAAATGTTTTAAAATCAATGAGGAATTGCATAGGAGTCAGCTGAGCTGCACTGGTTCCTATCAGCTGAGAATCCGAGCCATTAAAATAGGACATTGGGGTCTCAACAAAATTGAAATGTTCCACCATTCCTAGAGGAAACAGAATATAAATCTCGTTTAGTTTTTCAACAATTTCTGTCTCCCATAACTGCCCTTGTGTCTATTGTGTGAAGGTTTTGCTGGTTTCAGAAATGCAGTGATCCAGAAATTGAAGTGAAGTCAGGAAAGATAGAAAAACTGGAATTACAGGTGTGGAGTAGACCAGACAGCCATCTAGCACAGTATTTCTCTCTGACTGTAGTTACCACCAACACCTTCAGAGGAAGGTGAAAGGAACTCTGGAGTGGGTAGTTATGAGGTAACTTCCCTTATAGGAGGTTTTCCCCTAGCCTTGTGCAATTGTTTATAGATTTATGTCTTGAAGAAGGATTTCCTTCACCTTCCAATTTTTAGAGTCCTTTTAAAGTAAATTCTGAAAGTTTATGTTTAAAATCTCTCATAACATCCCAAGGTTTATTTATCCTGGCACGCTCACTTATATCTACACTACATGTCTACACTATGAAATTAGGTCAATTTTATAGAAGTCGATCTTTAGCAACTGATTTTATACAGTCGATCGTGCATGTCCCCACTGAGTGCATTAGGTCGGCAGAGTGCGTCCTTAATACCATAGGAAGCATCGACTCATGGAGTGGTGCACTATGGGTAGCTATCCCACAGTCCCTGCTGCCCATTGGAATTCTGGGTTAAGCTCCCAATGCCTGATGGGACAAAAACCTTGTTGCGGGTGGTTTTGGGTATATGTGTCAGTCTTCCCTTCCTCCCTCCTCGAAAGCAATGGCAAATAATCATTTTGCATCTTCTTTCCAGGAACTACACTGATTTACTCCAGCTGCAGGATTTTCCATGACGTCAGGCAGATTTTGCAGTAATTGAACATGTGATAGTCCGACTGGAGTAAAAGTAAGGGAAACACTGAGGCCTTGTCCACACTGTGAAATTAGGTCGAATTTATAGAAGTCGGTTTTGTAGAAAGCGTTTTTATACAGTCGATTGTGTGTGTCTCCACACAAATGGTCTAAGTGCATGTAGTCAGTGGAGTGCGTCCATAGTACAGAGGCAATTGTCGACTTCTGGAGTGTTGCACTGTGGGTAGCTATCCCACAGTTCCCTCAGTCTCTACCGTCCATTTGAATTCTGGGTAGAAATCCCAATGCCTGATGGGGCTAAAACGTTGTCGTGGGTGGTTCTGGGTACATATGGTCAGGCTATTCCCTCCCTCCCTCCGTGAAAGCAACAGCAGACAATTGTTTCACACCTTTTTTCCTGGGTTACCCATGCAGATGCCATACTATGGCAAGCATGGAGCCCGCTCAGCTTACTGTCACTGTATGTCTCCTGGGTGCTGGCAGATGTGGTACTGCATTGCTACACAGCAGCAGCTTATTGCCTTTTGGCAGCAGACAGTGCATATGACTGGTAGCCATTGTCGAGGGTGCTCTTTTAGCCAACCTCAATGAGATCAGGGGCGCCTGGGCAAACATGGGAGTGACTTAGCCAGGTCATTACCCTTTTAAGTTTTGTCTCATGGCGATTCAGTCCTGCTGGCAGTCCTACTGTACCGTCTTCTAATGAGCAGCCAGGAGATGATGATGGCCAGCAGTCATACTGCACCGTCTTCTGCTGAGCACCCAGGAGATGACGATGGCCAGCAGTCGTACTGCATCATCTGCTGCCAGGAAGATGTATAAAGATAGATGAAGTGGATCAAAACAAGAAATAGATTAGGTTTGTTTTTTGTTCATTTTCTCCTCCCTTTCTCCCTCCCGCTGTGAAATCAATGGCAAGCTAAACCCAGTTTTGAGTTCTATCCTTGAGGTTTTGAGTTCTATCCTTGAGGGAGCCATTCTGTTTCTTGCAAAGCCACCCCTTTTGTTGATTTTAATTTCCTGTAAGCCAACCCTGTAAGTCATGTTGTTGGTCACCCCCCTCCCTCCATCAGAGCAACAGCAAACAATCGTTTTGCAGCCTTTTCCCTGGATTGCCCAAACAGGAGCATCCGCCATAGCTCAGCAAGCATGGAGACCATTTAGCTCACTGCAGCAGTTATGACCATTGTAAACACTTCACACATTATCTTGCAGTTTATGCAGAACCAGCACCTGAAAAACCAGGCGAGGAGGCAATGGAATTGTGGTGTTGAGGACATGAACACACTTTTCTCTAAAACCGCATTCACCCACAATTTGGAGATCATGGTGTTAATGGGGAGGGCTTGTGCCATGGAATGCCAATTCTGGGCCTGGGAAACAAGCACGGAGTGGTAGGACCACACAGTGTTGCAGGTCTGCAATGATTCCCAGTGGCTCCAAAACTTTTGCATGCATAAGGGCCCTTTCATGGAACTTTGTGACTTGCTTTCCCCTGCCCTGAAGCACAAGAATACCAAGATGAGAGCAGGTCTCAAAGTTCACAGGTGAGTGGCAATAGCCCTGTGGAAGCTTGCAATGCCAAACAGCTACCGGTCAGTCGGTAATCAGTTTGGAGTGGGAAAATCTACTGTGGGGATTGCTATGATGCAAGTAGCCAATGCAATCATTGAGCTGCTGCTATCAAAGGTAGTGACTCTGGGAAATGTGCAGGTCATACTAGATGGCTTTGCTGCAATGGGATTCCCTAACTGTGGTGGGGCCATAGACGGAACCCATATCCCTATCTTGGGACCGGACCACCAGAGCAGCCAGTACATAAACCACAAGGGGTACTTTTCAATGGTGCTGCAAACACTGGTGGATCACAAGGGACGTTTCACCAACATCAACGTGGGATGGCTGGGAAAGTTTCATGACGCTCGCGTCTTCAGGAGCTCTGGTCTGTTTAGATGGCAGCAGGAAGCGATTTACTTCCCAGACCAGAAAATAACTGTTGGGGATGTTGAAATGCCTATAGTTATCCTTGGGGACCCAGCCTACCCCTTAATGAAGCCGTACACAGGCACCTTGGACAGTAGTAAGGAGCTGTTCAACTATAGGCTGAGCAAGTGCAGAATGGTGGTAGAGTGTGCATTTGGACGTTTAAAGGGTCGCTGGTGCAGTTTACTGACTCACTCAGACCTCAGCAAAACCAATATTCCCATTAAGAAAAGGAGTACTTGTGGCACCTTAGAGACTAACCAATTTATTTGAGCATGAGCTTTCGTGAGCTACAGCTCACTTCATCAGATGTATACCGTGGATGTGTAGCTCACGAAAGCTCATGCTCAAATAAATTGGTTAGTCTCTAAGGTGCCACAAGTACTCCTTTTCTTTTTGCGAATACAGACTAACACGGCTGTTCCTCTGAAACCTGTCAATATTCCCATTGTTATTGCTGCTTGCTGTGTGCTCCACAGTCTCTGTGAAAGTAAGGGGGAGACGTTTATGGTGGGGTGGGAGGTTGATACAAATTGCCTGGCCACTGAATACGCGCAGCCAGACAGCAGGGCGGTTAGAAGAGCACAGCAGGAAGCACTGCGCTTCAGAGAAGCTTTGAAAACCAGTTTCATGACTGGCCAGGGTACCGTGTGACACTTCTGTTTGTTTCTCCTTGATGAAAACCAGCCTCCTTGGTTGCCTCTAAATTCTCTGTAATCCACCCACCCTCCCCCCTTCGATCACGGCTTGCTTGCAAAGGAAATAAAGTCACTATCATTTTAAAAACATGTATTCTTTATTAATTGGTTATAAAAATAGGGAGATAACTCACAAGGTAGCCCAGGTGGGGTGTGGGAAGAGGGTAGGATGGAAGGAAAAGGCTACTTTAAAACTTGTTGAATGCCAGCCTTCTGTTGCTTGGGCTGTCCACTGGGGTGGAGTGGTTGGGTGCCTGGAGCCTCCCTTCCCCCCGCTTTCTTGGGCGTCTGGGTGAGGAGGCCATGGAACTTGGGGAGGAGGGAGGGCGGTTAAGCAGGGGTGGCAGTGGCAGTCTGTGATCCTGCTGCCATTCGTGAACCTCCACCAGATGCCGGAGCATGTCCGTTTGATCCCGCAGTAGCCCCAGCTTTGCCTCCTGCCTCCCCTGATCTTCCTGCTGCCACCTCTCCTCATGTTCATCGGCCACTTTCCTGACCTCTGCGATTGTGTCCCTCCACACAGCTCTGTCAGTGCCGGACGACTGCATGAGCTCAGAGAACATGTCATTGCGCGTGCATTTTCTTCACCGCCTTATCTGAGATAGCCTTTGGGATGGAGGAGGGAGGCTTGAAACATTTGCAGCTGCTGGAGGAAAAAAAGGGAGTGAAGTATTTAAAAAGATACATTTTACAGAACAATGGCTATACTCTTTCATGGTGAACAACACTATTCACATTACATAGCACATGTGATTTTGGTACAAGGTCGCATTTTGCATCTTATATTGAGTACCTGCAGCTTTGGTGTTACAGATCACACATGCAGTGCCGGGCAACAGATTTTGGCTTGCAGGTGGCCAAGGTAAGCCATAGTCTTTCAGCTTCTGCAACCTTCATAACAGCAGCACCCTCCTTTCCCATACCAAGCAAAGCCCGTTCAGTTGTCCATTTAGTGCTGAGGTTTTTCTGTTAACGTGCAGCAGCAGAAACCAACTAACCCCCTCACCGCATCCAATTCTCTGGGATGATCACTTTACCTCTTCCCCCCCCCCCCCCACCTGGCTGGTATCAGGGAAGATCCCTGCGAGCCAAACGTGAACATCTCAGCACCAATGCTCTCTCTCTCCCCCTCCCCCACCCCACGTGGCTAACGCAGGGAGGATTTCTTTTCAGCCACAGGCAAACAGCCCAGTAG